TTATCAGAGATCGGAGGAGATTCACCACAAATTACCACAAGGCGTTAGCTTCAAGGAAAAAAGACACACTTACGATGAACCATAAGGATGGGCCAGTAATACCGCCCTAGACGAAATGGACCAAACAGTTTAAATACAATACAAAAGCGGGCGGATACGATTGGCAACCCTTACTAACTTATATCGACAGCCAGCATCCTCAACGCATGAGATTAAACGCACAACGATAGACAGCTCCTACCTCCTTCATGACAAATCCGAGGGACAAATGATCTCAGCGTAGAGAAGGTTTCCATGGATGAAGAAATGTAAAAAATGATGGTATAGCTCCCATTACCACTGCCACATATAAGTCCGACTCGGGTTTTCCCATAATTGCAAAATGGATGTTTGAAGAATTGTGTATCAGTTATGGAAATTTAGGGAACGAATCGAATGCTGTGTGTGGGTCGACAGCATGATGTTGGATGGACATGTCAAGTGAGGTAGTAGTTCACTTTTACTTGTTGAGTTTCGATTCAAGAGCACAATTAGGTTTCAGGGATTTGGTGTCTAACTCACCGCTGAGATCCTGATAGTGAATGCGTAAATAACTACCAGCAGTTAGCTCTAGAAGGGTTAGCAAGTAGGACAAACTGAAAGAAGTGGTGCATCAGTTAAATGGTAGCCCACCATTTTGTGTGGGCCAAATCGCAGATGATAGATCGACACTTCAAGGTTAGAAGTGATAACGCATTAATGCGGAAGCAAAATGTATGACCACCTTTTAAAAAGAAATGATGCCAAACTTCAAATTCAGGCTCCCATGAGAATGGTGATTGCAATTGTTGCATTAGCAAGGTTTACTTGGTTACTTATGTAAACAAGTGGGGTTCGATTGACATGGGTCGACGACAAATTATGGTTCACCATAAGACAAAACTCAATGGCATCAATTACCTTCAGACTTCTTGCTTTTGCAAAAAAGATGGCTAAATTGTATGCAAGTTGGGCTAAATTTTGAACCAAAATGCAAAGCATTTCGACGACCCCTATTCACAGG